TATATATATATATATATATATATATATATATATATATATATATATATGTGTGTGTGTGTGTGTGTGTGTGTGTGTTTTAAACCCTTCCCACACTCTTGCAATATTCTAAATAGTGCTTTTAAACTCTAAATGCTCTAAAAGAGCCCAGAATGTCATTTCAGCTCCCTGCCTCCTCTGCTCTCAGCCATCTGCAAGCGCTCTTGGCCACGCCCACTTTTCAGCTCTGCAGGGAGAACAGCTGATCGGCTGCAGCAGGAAGTTTATCCTGCACTATGGGCCGCACACAGGTGCAGCAGGTGCTAAATAATTTCAAATAATTTATTTTAAATAAAAATCCCATGCTGATCTTGCAGCTCATCTATCAATCAGCCAATTGTGTGTCATGTCCAATCTTAGTTTGAAAAACCGCGATACAGCGAGTCTGTGATATACGAACTATGAAGTAGCAGGGACTATTTTTTTTTTTTAAGTTGCCACCTACAGGAGGCCATGAAAGAGAATGATGACTAAATAACTAAAATAAATTATCTTGTCAAATCAAAGATTTTTAAGTTAAATTTTTGTTTGTATTTTGCCTTAGTATATGATATGTGCATTATATATCATGTGCATTTGTGCAATATTGTACCTGTGAAATACTGATTTATACTAATTCAACCTACTTGCACCGTTATTTTCTACCATGATGTTTGCTATATTTCTTTTGGAGCTTGTGAATATTATGTTTCTATTTCTTTGTCACTTTGGTACTTTATTTTGTACTTTTATTGCATGCTTTGTATATTTTTAATTAAAAAAAAAAAAACATTTTTTAAGCGAGTCAAATCAGCTCTTCTCATCCTGAACATTTCATTGCATCGTTGACCTTGTGTTAACCTGCACATGACAAATAAACAACGAGTCACTGAGCAGGAATGTTAAATGAGAAAAAAATATGAGCTCACATGAAAAAATCAAATGTTAAAAATTATTACAAATATAAAACAAGGATTTTCAAAAGAAATAATAAAAAGTTGTTGACACGGTTATGAGTTTGTGTTTTACATCAACAATGCACAAATCCAGGAACCACAAGCAGCAACAGATTATTAAAATACTGAATACATTTTTTTCTTTAAATAATTGCGATTAAAAATGATCCTGTGGAAAATAAACAGCCTTAATGAGAGCAAGGCCATGGTTCTGATCAGACTGTGTACCGCTGATTATACTGGACTTGTAAATTAATAAGTTAGACTGATAAAGCCCCAGTGGAATCCAATTTAACCAGCTTATAAGTCTGTAAATTAAAATGTTGCAATGGTAATTAAATTGGCCTACTGATAAATGATGGACAGAGAAAATATAAAGTTGTCGTCCACAACAGAAATGCTCCAGATGATCCTGTTTAAGGTCACATAATGAGTGAATTAGTGTGGTAGTTGTGAAATAAAAAGTTATTAAAAATATAAGTGGCACACAACTTGTCAGGAACCTGCAGACCCGAGTTCAGCTCCCATCCAAACCTGTGAGGTTCTTAAGAAACTTAATTTTCAAGTCTTTTTTTTTAAGTTTCAGTTGCTTTTTGAAGTTTTTTGTAAATTAAAAACAACAATCTATGCATATTTCATGTTTTAACAAAAAATACACTAAGCTAATTCTACATGAAATCAGAAAATGCCACAGTAATTGTTACTTAATATTTGCTTTAAGTACAATATTATGGAAATATCCATATTTAAAATGTGTGCTTCCCCTCAGTCTTATGAAGCGACTCACTTTCTGTGCCATTAATCCAGTTTGGGGCAAACAGTCGTCTGTTGTCTAAATGCTGTTTTCCATCCGAGTCCCAGCCCGAGGCCTTCGTCTTTGTACGCAACTGCAGAATACATCGAGCCATTTCCTGAGAGAAGATCAAATAACAAAGATGAGTCCCTTAGATATTTCATGGCCTTTCAGGTGATTCATCGTGTCTCTGTCTTTTTAAGAAAATCACAAGCTTTTTAGGACAAGTGGAGCAAGTGAAGGCGAATAACAAACACACACACAAACGCACATCTGGACAAAGACACATACAGACAAGATCTTTTCGAGTGTACTGAGCTCTGCTAGTAGAGATCAGCAGATTTCTCTTTACTGTAGCAGAAGATCCGTGAAGACTTTTCTCCATCTTGCCCTTGTTTTGCTCTAATTTCAGACAGTGTTGGGTCGGCCTCGCCAAGTGAGACTAGAATTTTAACGGCTCTCAGCCGTGAAAGAAACACCTCAGAGTTGATTTGGTGGAAAAGGCAACTTAAAATTGTTTAGTAAAAACTATAGCTAAAAATGACAACAGTATTAACATACACAGACCATTTCCAAAGAATTAGAATATCATGGAAAAGTTGTTTAACTTCCATAACTCCATTCAAAAATTTAATCTTTAATAGATGATAGATTCAGGACCCACAATTGAAACGATTTCAAGTATTTATTTGTTTATTTTTTACATAATTTGGGCTTCCAGGAAACCTGTGCAGGTGCTTTGAGTTTAGTAGATGATTAGTGTCACACTCAGTTTAAAACATTCATGCCCTGCAAAATTTGGGCTGATGTCTCCACAGTATTCTAATTTTTTGAAATCCTGTTTTCGTGGGTTTCATGAGCTGGAAGCCCAAATTATGTAAAAATAAATAAATAAATACTTGAAATCATTTAAACTGTGGGCCCTGAATCTATCATCTATTAAAGATTAACTTTTTGAATGGAATTATGGAAGTTACACAAATTTTCCATGACATTCTAATTTTTTGGAAAGTATAAAAATAAAAAAGAGACTTGATTTGGTAACTTCTTCTGGCTGCACCTTTTATCCTCTGTCTTCATCTCACCCAATCCCAGCATCCAATCATCCTCCACTACGTCCATGATCCTTCCTCGTCTCCCTCATATCCAGTATTCCATGTCCAATACGTATATCCACTGTCCCTCTTCTGCACATGTCCAAACCCTCTAGTCTCTAACGTTGTCTCTAAAATGCTCAACCTGAGCTGTTCCACTGATTTACTCAGCTCCAGTCCTGCTCATTTTGGTCACTCCCAATAAAACTTTGAACATCATCATCTTTGCCACCTCCTGTTTTTATGTGCGTGCCACCTTCTCCAAACCATATATCAAAGTCTGACAGCATCTTGTAAACCTTCCATTTCACTCCCAAAGCTCTCCTTCTATCACAGATCACCCCTGACACTAGCCTCCATCCGCTCCACCCTGCCTGCACTCTCTTCCTCACTCCTCCTGTATGAATGATGGACCCCAGGTACTAAAACTCATTCCCCCTTTAATAACTCTACTTCTTACAGCGCCACTGTTGCACCAGTCTTCCTCTCGTACACACATGTTCTGTCTCACTTCTGCTGACTTTAATTCCTCTTCTCTCCAGAGCAGACCTCCATCTCTCCAGGCTCTCTTCCACCTGCTCCCAACTCTCACTACGGATGTCATCTGGAAACCTTACAGTTTATGGGGACTCCTGCCTGACCTCTTCAGTCAACCATCACCATCATTGTCATCAAGAACAACAAAACATGCTAATCTAGCTTCTGTCTAGTTTCCAGTCTATCCTCTAGAGCAGGGGTGTCAAACTCACTTACAAAAGGGGACAAAATTAAAACTTTTTTCAAGCTAAGGGCCAATTTCAGAAACTACATTAACTCAAATCAGACACCCAGCGTCTTTTCTTGGTCACATGTTCCTCAGCAAGAGTTTGATTGGCCTCATTTGATGTTGTTTGTTGTGCTTTCAACATCATAATCAAAGATTACTGAAAAATTCAAGAGATAGAAGTATTTTACATTTCACATATCATCTTGGGGGTCAGATATGATGACAACGAGGGCCATATTTGGCCCCCGGGCCTTGAGTTTGACACATATGCTCTGGAGTTATTTTGCATAGTTCAAAAATAAAAACAATACTCTGTTTCTCACTTGAATCCTCTTATACAAGTTTTTTTTAATGTAGCTTCTTATGAATTTCATGTTATGCTGAAGGGAAGCATTCATACTGGTTTTCTGTTTCAGGGAGACTGAACACCTGTCAATCATATATCAAGACATTGACTAATGATAAATGAAGCGTTTCAAACACCTCGCTATGAACATGTCGCAAGAACTTTAGCCAAAAAGATTATTACACTGAATGACAGAACAGAGATGTTAAAACTAAAATACGGCAACAGGAGCTCATGTTTCTGGACTTTTCGAGTGGAAACTACTTTGGCGAACCCATTTATTGGTAAATTAGGTAACTACAGCCATGTATAGAAGCAATCAAACTCTTTTGGCTGATCCTATCGCCAGCTGTTAATCAGCTG